AGTGGAGATCAATGGCATTTTCATTGCAGAGAACATGATTTAAACATCTATATTGCACAACATCTAAACTATTTTGTTGTGGACTTGGCTCAATTCCTATCATTTTTATTTTCAAGTTTGGACATAGTAATGGGGCTTGGGAATATAGGGGGTTTTCTGGGAGAGATACCAGTTTCTAGATTATCTGATGCTTTTTTGTTTCATGTGATGCCCTGTTGGTGTACATTGCCCTTCGGCATAGACATGTTAGAATATGTTTTGCTCCAGGCCTCTAACCGCAACACGAAATTTATCACACTGCTTATCTTTCATCTGACGCCAGGTATTTGATATACTGAAATTTTTTCTCTTAATATTTGTGCCTAACTCTTCACTAGTATAACTATTAATATTTTTTTTCTTCTACAATTTTCCTGAGACGCTTGCTTATTATCAGATAAAATTTCCATGAGATGTCATTTACTAATTCATGGCTAGAAATTACAAAATGATTTGTAAAAGTTAGCGTGATAAATGCTTCTTTATCTGGCAGTAATTGCTGATTTTTATGAGCATGAATGATTATTCTGGCTTGGTGATTAATTCTTTACATGATTGTTGGCGGCACTTCTAACTCGTTTCTCTCTTCTTTTTATTATTATTATTATTATTATTATTATTATTATTATTGTTCTTTCTCTCAACAGTTTGCAAGCAGTTTTGATTGCTTCACATCCACTGGAGCCTAACCAGTTTGCATTAGGATTCACAGATGGCAGGGTTATTGTGATCACTACAAGAAATTGCATTTTTTGCAATGCAACAAAATATGTTGCTAAAAGGAAAAATTCGTTGGCAAAGAGTTTTGCCAACACACAAAGCTACGTTGGCAACCCGTAGGCAAAAGTGAGTTGGCAAAAGTTTTTGCCAACGAAATTATCATTGTGTTGGTGAAAGTAATACCTTTAGCGACGAACATAGTCGTCATTAAAAGCCTTCATCCATTGTCGACAATTTACCTTGCGTCGGTAAAAGTCATTAAAATATGATGATTGTGTGGCACTTTTCGCGACACAAATTTGCATGGGCAAAAAATATACTTTTAGCAACAAAATATGCATCGGCAAAAGTAAACTTTTGGCGACACATTTACGTCGGTAAATGTTGCCATTTACCTACGATTTGTTTGTTGATAAAGCTTCACTTTTGGCAACGACAAACTAGCATTGGCAAAAAATACACTTTTAGCAACACAATATGAGTGGGCAAAAGTAAACTTTTGATAACACATTTACGTCGATAAATATTGCCATTTGCCAACGATTTGTTTGTCGATAAAGGTTTACTTTTGGCAACGACAAATTGGCATTGGCTAAAAATACACTTCTAGCAACACAATATGAGTGGGCAAAAATAAACTTTTGGCAACACATTTACCAACAAAAATAATTGAAAACAACTTATATATTTTTATAAGATTTGCAGATTTACAAGAGGCATCCCTCAGGCACCACTATTACAAACTAATAACATTGATATGAAATCACCTAAAGTTGATGTGCAAGCAAAAAAAACACTGCTGATACTGCTTTTAGAAGCAGTGTATAAAACCTAAAAGGGTAAACTCACTAAAATACCCAAATACATCCAAATTGTGAACCCGCATTACAAACAATAGATAACAAAATGAAAACATGAAGCTAACAAAGACAGGCAAAACGACACGAAAAGTATCCACAAACTTATCCAGCAGACCAACATCTAGTAGCAACCGCCTCACAGCAACATTGCAGCAACAGCAGCCTAGCAAGCATCAACCACAAGGGTAGCAGCAGTAACAAACCAGCAGCAGCAGACCAGCAGTTGCAGCAGACGAATCTGATTCATGTATCTCAAATGAATCTGATTCATGCATCTCAGATGAGCTTGGTGCATCTGTAACTTTCAGGCCAGCTGCTTGATTTAACATTCCTGGGGGCATTACAGAAGAGATGACCAACATGTAAAGACATTTTAATACGAGCTACTCAAGCCAAGTTCTTTGCTAATCCTTGCATGATAATTAGAAGAAAAAAAAAAGAATGTAAAATACCCACTTTGGAGGAGAACATCCTTTCTTCTCTACATGATACAGGTGCATTAGCCTCCAGTACATATGAAAACAGAGCCAATTCAACCCGGCCAACAAACTTGGGTGCCAGAAGATTCTTATCGATAACAATGTTAGAAACAGTTCATCTCCTAAGTTTTTGTGTGTTTTTTGGGAAAATAAAAACACAACTACAAAGAGGAGAATTTTCATAATTCTCTCTAGGGAGCTTCTAACACAACTCTTCTAAGGAGAAAAGCATTGATTTCCACAACCATGTTGCAATTTTTAATATACAATGCATGGAAATGTTTGATATGACAGGGTTTTAATAGTATAATTGTTGACAATTAAAGAGAGCATATATATATATATACCTTCCACCTTGTATTACTAAACAGAAAAGAACCGGGCTTGAGTAATATATCAAGTTGGTTAAGCTCAACTAAGGCGCCTCCAACAGCTTGAGCTAAGTTCTTGTCATCATTCGCATCATAAAAACAACCCCGAGCCTTGGCATCTACAACTAATTTTTTCCACACACTGCCGCTATTAATCAAAGTAGCACCATTCCCCAAAATCCAAAGGCAATGCCTACACCACCCCAAAAAAAAAAACAAAAAAATTACCACACAGTAAAGTAGAGCTTAAATATCACAAGGTTTGGCTATGCAAAAAACAATACCTTGCTCGAGTGAGAGCCACATTAGCTCTTTGACAATTGGAAAGAAAGCCCACTGATCCACGCCCATTGCATCGCACAGTAGAGATAATTATGACATCTTCCTCACCACCTTGAAACCCATCAACAGATCGAACACTTACGGAAAAGTCACTGTTTGCATCTGTGTTGTACGTTTTCCAATTTTTTGTTCAAGTGCAAATACTTGAGCCTTGTATGGTGATATGCAACCAATCCTAGCCTTCTGTTTTGACGCCTTAGATTCTGTAGATCACGATTGAGGCAGAAAACAAAATAAAATTACAGCCTGTTTGGTAATGCTTCTGTTTCTATTTTTGCTTTCCAAAAACTTGAAAACTGACCAAAAAAATTGTTTTGAGGCCTCGGATTCTGTAGTGGGAATAATGCAGCCAGATATTAGAATCCTCACTTATTGATCATGATTCAGGCAGAAAACACTAAAAAGTTATAGCCCATTTGGTAATGTTTTATTTTCTGTGTTCTATGTTCGGCTTTCTGTTTTTGTTTTCAAAGAATTCTAGAACTTTTCATTGACTATAATAGAAAAGAAATACCTTTAAAGAGTCTTGCAACAATATCGGCGGCCACAGCTACCTCCACTGTGTTTTTCGTGCTATGTCTGTTATCAAAGCCCTCTTGGCCATAGCTTACATTTATGAAGAAATAAGAGCCATACATACTTCCTTGAAGAAAAAGCCTCTCGTAGGTTCTCTCTTTGTCATTCGGACCATCAGAAATCATATTGTCATAGAATTCCCTATTCGGAAACATGCTTATTGATGGATGCATTCTGTATTGGATAGTAAGAAGACGCTTTTTATGCCCTAATAACACCAGCCTCTCAAAGAAGCTTCTTCCAAATTCAACATTCTGGCATATCTATTATGCATAGATTTTCAAGACATTAATACAAGATAACAATTTTTATAAAAGATTGATAAACACAAAGGCAATTAAATTAAATTAAATCAGAAACCTTGCTTTGAACCATTGAAGGAAGTTGTCATTCATCGCCAACGAGCATAGCATCATGGATACCAGAGAGCTGTAATGGAATAGTTGATTCACATTCTTTGAGCTGAGCAGCTTCATCGATCACCAACAGTTCCAGTGGGTTTTCTTCTTCTGTACACAACCTAGCAGAGCTTGAAGCAGTGCAGAATATCACGCATTTTGCAAGCAAAAACTTCGAATTACATATTTGTCAGTAGTATTTAGAGCAGAAAAGGTTTCGCGAAGGAATTTGAGTACTTGAAGGCACTCTGCCTTAACAGAACTCAACTTCATGAATCCATTAATCCTGTTTCTGACATCTGCAGTTCCATTAATGAGTTCTCTCAAAAACTTATTTGCAGCAACATCAGTACGCAGCAAAGTTCGAAATGATTTTAGTAGATCAAGAGCTCTAATCATCTTTTTTGCTACTTCCAATGAAATGATAGAAGTTGGCATGTGGGTGTACAAGATTGGAATCACAAAGATGAGATCATTTCCAATGGATTTAAATTTATCCATGAAGAACTCCTCAAATGTCTTAAGTTTTTCACACTTGTCCACCCTTTCTCCTATGTTTTCCTCCTTTGTTTTATCACTCTTCAATTGGCTTTTTCCTTTAAAAGGCTAATTTTTCTTCTGTTTTTTCTTGTTCTTGTTTTTCTTCAAGGTTTGAACAATTGTCTTCCTCCAAAATGCCCTTTCATCCATTGGTTTCGAGTCTTCTTGATCATGAATATCATCCTCTTCGTCTTGGTTGCTTTTCACTGTCCTATCTCCAAAATTTGTCTCATCCGGTTCCTCACCATTTTTCTTATTTTCTTTTTCCCAATTTTCCAAATACAAACGGTACAGCTCTTCGGGGCCTTCAAGTAAACAGATCATTGCTTCCAAATTTTTGTTCCACCCAGTTGCTGAAGCAAAAGCTTTGCGAAGCATAAAAACACGGTAATCAAGAATTACATCAAGAAGGTCTTCATGTTCATCGATCTTCATTCGCTTCCAATTACCAAACAATACTATATCTCCCAACCCATAAGTATCATCCTTGAATGCTTGCCAAACCAAACTCGTGAGCCATGCTGTGACTACTTCCAACACTGCAATGTTGGTTGGGGCACAGGTTAGTGTTCTGCATTTCAACTTCAATAGAGAAAACAATAATGAACCAACTGCCTTGGTTTTCCCGGTCCCAGGAGGACCCCATATTAGTTTGACAGTATTTTGATGATGACATTCTCTTGTAGCAACACAACTTAGAACAACGGCCTTTTGGGAATCGTCCAGATTAAATGAGCTTATGACATTCCTCACACTGGATGGAGAAACACTGTCATTCTCTTGGGACAAGCAGTGAATACAATTGGTCCCAATCTGTAAAATAAGTTAGAACAAGTGAAAATGATTCAAGCAAATGTATTTATCTACTCAAGACTGAATCCAGTAAGAAAAGAATGCTATATAAATATGAATCAAATAATGAGAAAGGAATGCTATATGTATACGAAAGGCAATAATTCTACAAACACAACACATCAGTTTGTAAGAAAAGTTTGTTTGTATAGCACTACTCAAACAAAATATCTTAGTAAACTTTCAGAGAATGAGAAGTAAATTATGGAGGGTGAATAAGACACTGCACTCGGAAAGAAAATTCTAAAATGATATAAAATAATAATGTATGAAGTTTATATTATCAAAAAATTCAAATAATTAACAATAAAATTTAAACAGAGGCTGCATGGAGATGAAAGATTTTAACCCTAGACATATATTGCTGAAAGAATAATTCAAACTCACAACATGTAACAGAATATATACTGCATAAAAGAAACATTAGATGGTATTTGAAGGTGAAGAACTGTCTAACTAACGATTTGAACAAGACTGAATTTTTCTTGTACTCCAAAATTTCCGAATATATCCAAGCCAGAAATATTGTGATGATTCCAAGCAAAAACAACACCTGAAATTGGGAGATACACAAAATATGTTATGTCAACCAAGGAAAGGAATATATACTAACAAAGTTCGTAAAGAAGAGAGCACAAAACAGACATCAAGTTCAAAACGAAACAATGAACGATATTGCAATGACTAATAATACATTTGAGACCCTTCACATTCTTAGTTACTAGTGGATGGGTGTGCTATTAAAATTTGTATAATACAAATTTAAATTTTGATTTGAAAGTATATATGTTGTGTGCCGATATTGTTTCCCAGACCAAAGTTTATGTTCAAGCCCCATCCACTTCACTATATAATTTACATTGTGTTAACACCATCTCAAGCCTTCACATATAGTATAGTATAGATAGATAGAAGAAGATAATAGTATAGATATAACTGTAATGCAAAGTCATTAACAATTCTATTGGTAATCACTCATTAAATTAATGTTACAAATAACTTGTATTCTAACCAAACAAACGAAGCAGTCAGTTCAAACAGTATTGTGCTCAAAATTGGATGACTAATTCTTCAACTCAAACACATAAAAATCTTCACAACCTGAATTTATAGATATTTCTGCTTAAGCTTCCGTAAGCACAGAATTTATAATTTTGGTGTTAGAAATGTTTTAGTTGATTTTGATTATCTATAACATTATAAACAAAATGTTTTAGTTGGTTTTCATGGACTCTTTACCCTTTCAATACTCAACTAACAGTTCCATGGTCCTAAACAAATTAATGAAGCTTTAATGGTTAGTATATGAAACAGGTTATATATCTAGACAGAATTACATAATCAAAATGTACTAACACTATTATAAGCCAAATGTTTAGAATAAATCATAATGAAAATGAAACCTTGTAGATGTTCTTCTCAGACGATCTGCAAAATAAAATACAATTAGATCCATGCACCAATACTGCCACAAGCCTCTGCACGTTTAAACATATAATTCCCACAAAACAATTTGTAGATTGCAGATATGAATTAGAAGGCATTACTCACAATCCTTTTTTAGATAGACCTTTCGATGAATTTAACTTCTGTGAATGGTGGTGTAAAAAAAACACATTGTTAGAGTTAAAGGCCAATTCGTTGCTTCAAGGCTTGTGACCATTGTCAACAAGCTCCCAACGCTCTTTATCTAAACGGAGCACTTCCACATCTCCACCATCATACAGTACCTTTAACACAAAATTGATCAGAGAAAATTATGTCAAAGAACCATATGAGATTACAATTATTACAGTATTGATAAATAAATAAATAAAATGTGTATCTCCAAAACATGACTAACACAAGTATTAGAATAAAAAATTAGATCATGGAACGGTGCACTTACCACATATTTCTTATGTTCAGAGTCATAAGACTTCACTACTCCATAAAACCTGTTGATTTTAACAAGACACCATCAAGACACAATTCTTGCAGCAGCGTATACACACAAGGATTTTGGACTGCAAACCACGTGTACAAAAAGTACACACTACTAAGGTAATCAAGGATTGGCATTCCCTAGATCAAGATTATACGGTATGCTTTTGAATAATTTATTAGCACATGGATATATATACACGCTAACAAGGCAATTTTCAAAAGCCATAAAACCAGCAGAGCCACAACAATATATACATATATATATTTACATTTGGAAATTATAAATATAAATTTTGATTTGATTCTCCCATTTTTTCTTTGTATGTCATGTTCGACAAATAGAAAATATAAATAAAGTAAAAAAAGATGATGAATGGGTTTGAGACTTACATCCACATGTAATCCATCTCCAGACAGCCCACAAATTGATTTGGCTGATGAAAATTGGCAGCGTCAAAGCAATCAAAAGATGGTAGCTAAAGAGCAAACATGAGATCAATATATATAATTTTTTAATCATCATGACAACCCAAGCAACATCAGCCAAAGGCCACAAGACTGGGAGGTCAATGCAAGCAAGGGCCAAAGAGAATATGCCAGAAGCCCTTCTCCACTAGCCAGAGGTCATTGGCCCTGGGGTACACACCGCTGGGCAGAAGTCATCTTCACCAGTCACCCACGTTGGGATGTGCAAGTGCGACTGACAACTGGGTACAAGTCATCTTGGCCCATCACTAATATTGGGATGTGCGAGTGTAGAGTCAAATTTTCTTTCCATTCTGAATGTATCAAGCTTTTTATTTTTATTTTTACCACTTTGACCGTTCATTAAATGGCTTCCAAAATTAGAGTTTGGCCCCTGCCATTTTTGGTCTGTGTGAGTCTGATTCTCATACAGGGATGTCCTCACCAAGTCAGCAACATGTCAGGTTAAACTAAATTAACAGATGTTGGGGCATGTCTCCAGTGTTTGACACCTATCCGTGTCCAAAAATGTGTATATGTCACATATAGGGAAGTGTCCTTGCTTCCTTGCAGGAAAGACACAATTAGGAATGGAACAGAACTTATGAGTAGCTATTGATTAAGTCATAAACAAGGTCAACTATTTGAGATAACTCAATCAAAGGATTAAAAAAAGTTTTAATGTATGCCAAAGAATCCAATATGGATGGCATAGAAAACAGAGTGACAAACTGATCAAAAGTCGCAGACTCCTAGTAGTAGCAGACCACCCATGGCCCTAAACAAAGGAGTAGAATGGGAAACTTTCATGAAACTGAACTAAAGAAGAATTTGGTAAGGGGTCACTGTGTTCATGGGTACAAGAAAATAAAATTCATTTTCACAATCCAAGTGAAGAACAAAACTAAGCCATGGCCAACCCTGTAGACACTGGTGTTATTGAAAATATTTTTTCAAGTGTTGAACCTATGACTGAAAGGATATGACTCATCTCAATCTAACTACTTTTACCTGGAAAGGAAATTATCCAGAGCTTAATTTTAAACAGAAGATGGATACATAATAAATTAGAAATTTAAATATAATAGAGATTCCCAATTTCATAGACCTACACATCTCATGCTCCAACTTTATCTTTCTCAACTATTTTGTTAAAAAATGGCTTAGGCCCTGTTTGGAACCCTCTCTTTTAGCCAAAAAGCCAAAAAGTTTCTAAATTAGCCAAAAAGCCAACAACCCATACCAAAAAGTCAAATATTCTCTTTTCTCTCTACTTTTTGCACATCTTTTCGTAAAAAAGCCAAAAAGTCATCCCAAACACACTAGTTTTTTTAGCTCATATTTTAGCCAAATAGCCAAAAAATTACTAAATTAGCATGTTCCCAAACGAGGCCTTAATCTTGTTCTCTAAACCAACAAAATACTTACGGCACCTACAACTAATTTTTTCCATACACTGCCGCTATTAATCAAAGTAGCACCATTCCCCAAAATCCAAAGGCAATGCCTACACCACCCCAAAAAAAAAAGACAAAAAAATTACCACACAGTAAAATAGAGCTTAATTATCACAAGGTTCGGCTATGCAAAAAACAATACCTTGCTCGAGTGAGAACCACATTAGCTCTTTGATGATTGGAAAGAAAGCCCACTGATCCACGCCCATTGCATCACACAGTAGAGATAATTATGACATCTTCCTCACCACCTTGAAACCCATCAACAGATCGAACACTTACAGAAAAGTCGCTGTTTGCATCTGTGTTGTACGTTTTTCCAAATTTTTGTTCAAGTGCAAATGCTTGAGCCTTGTATGGTGATATGCAACCAATTCTAACCTTCTGTTTTGACGCCTTAGATTCTGCAGATCACGATTGAGGCAGAAAACAAAATAAAATTACAGCCTGTTTGGTAATGCTTCTGTTTCTATTTTTGTTTTCCAAAAACTTGAAAACTAACCAAAAAAATTGTTTTGAGGCCTCGGATTCTATAGTGGGAATAATGTAGCCAGATAGCAGAATCCTCACTTATTGATCATGATTCAGGCAGAAAACACTAAAAAGTTATAGCCCATTTGGTAATGTTTTATTTTCTGTGTTCTATGTTCTGCTTTCTGTTTTTGTTTTCAAAGAATTCTAAAACTTTTCATTGACTATAATACAAAAGAAGTACCTTCAAAGAGTCTTGCAACAATATCGGCGGCCACAGCTACCTCCACTGTGTTTTTCGTGCTATGTCTGTTATCAAAGCCCTCTTGGCCATAGCTTACATTTATGAAGGAATAAGAGCCATACATACTTCCTTGAAGAAAAGGCGTCTCGTAGGTTCTCTCTTTGACATTCGGACCATCAGAAATCATATTGTCATAGAATTCCCTATTCGGAAACATGCTTATTGATGGATGCATTCTGTATTGGATGCTAAGAAGATGCTTTTTATGCCCTAATAACACCAGCCTCTCAAAGAAGCTTCTTCCAAATTCAACATTCTGGCATATCTATTATGCATAGATTTTCAAGACGTTAATACAAGATAACAATTTTTATAAAAGATTGATAAACACAAAGGCAATTAAATTAAATTAAATCAGAAACCTTGCTTTGAACCATTGAAGGAAGTTGTCATTCATCGCCAACGAGTATAGCATGACGGATACCAGAGAGCTGTAATGGAATAGTGGATTCACATTCTTTGAGCTGAGCAGCTTCATCGATCACCAACAGTTCCAGTGGGTTTTCTTCTTCTGTACACAACTTAGCAGAGCTTGAAGCAGTGCAGAATATCAAGCACGCATTTTGCAAGCAAAAACTTCGAATTACATATTTGTCAGTAGTATTTAGAGCAGAAAAGGTTTCGCGAAGGAATTTGAGTACTTGAAGGCACTCTGCCTTGACAGAACTCAACTTCATGAATCCATTAATCCTGTTCCTGACATCTGCAGTTCCATTAATGAGTTCTCTCAAAAACTTATTTGCAGCAACATCAGTACGCAGCAAAGTTCGAAATGATTTTAGCAGATCAAGAGCTCTAATCATCTTTTTTGCTACTTCCAATGAAATGATAGAAGTTGGCATGTGGGTGTACAAGATTGGAATAAAAAAGATGAGATCATTTCCAATGATAGAAATTGGCATGTGGGTGTACAAGATTGGAATAAAAAAGATGAGATCATTTCCAATGATAGAAATTGGCATGTGGGTGTACAAGATTGGAATAAAAAAGATGAGATCATTTCCAATGATAGAAATTGGCATGTGGGTGTACAAGATTGGAATAAAAAAGATGAGATCATTTCCAATGATAGAAATTGGCATGTGGGTGTACAAGATTGGAATAAAAAAGATGAGATCATTTCCAATGATAGAAATTGGCATGTGGGTGTACAAGATTGGAATAAAAAAGATGAGATCATTTCCAATGATAGAAATTGGCATGTGGGTGTACAAGATTGGAATAAAAAAGATGAGATCATTTCCAATGATAGAAATTGGCATGTGGGTGTACAAGATTGGAATAAAAAAGATGAGATCATTTCCAATGATAGAAATTGGCATGTGGGTGTACAAGATTGGAATAAAAAAGATGAGATCATTTCCAATGATAGAAATTGGCATGTGGGTGTACAAGATTGGAATAAAAAAGATGAGATCATTTCCAATGATAGAAATTGGCATGTGGGTGTACAAGATTGGAATAAAAAAGATGAGATCATTTCCAATGATAGAAATTGGCATGTGGGTGTACAAGATTGGAATAAAAAAGATGAGATCATTTCCAATGATAGAAATTGGCATGTGGGTGTACAAGATTGGAATAAAAAAGATGAGATCATTTCCAATGATAGAAATTGGCATGTGGGTGTACAAGATTGGAATAAAAAAGATGAGATCATTTCCAATGATAGAAATTGGCATGTGGGTGTACAAGATTGGAATAAAAAAGATGAGATCATTTCCAATGATAGAAATTGGCATGTGGGTGTACAAGATTGGAATAAAAAAGATGAGATCATTTCCAATGGATTTAAATTTATCCATGAAGAACTCCTCAAATGTCTTAAGTTTTTCACACTTGTCCACCCTTTCTCCTATGTTTTCCTCTGTTTTATCACTCTTCAATTTGCTTTTTCCTTTAAAAGGCTCATTTTTCTTCTATTTTTTCTCGTTCTTGTTTTTCTTCAAGGTTTGAACAATTGTCTTCCTCCAAAATGCCCTTTCATCCATTGGTTTCGAGTCTTCTTGATCATGAATATCATCCTCTTCGTCTTGGTTTCTTTTCACTGTCCTATCTCCAAAATTTGTCTCCACCGAATTGTTTTCTGACCAATTTTATAGAGGGCAAAGGGCCTTCTTCGTTCAAGTTTGTTGAAATTGCACTTGTTAAGCCACCCTCTACCTTGCTGGGGTTAAGCACAAGAAAGAAAGAGAATTAATATTGGCTTCTTGTGTATTTTGGATTTTTTAGTGGAGCAATGACTACTTTGATTTGTAGATTATATGAAAATGCATTCATACCTAAAGAAAAGTAAATAAAAAAAAATGGAATCTATACGAATAAATTCCAATGATTAATTTACCTTCTTCCGCCCATCATCCACATCAATATAGACAGGAGTTGTATTAACGATAACCGAGCAAGTTCCTCAACCTGAAAATTTATAGATATTTCTGCTTAAGCTTCCGTAAACACATAATTTATAATTTTGGTGTTAGAAATGTTTTAGTTGATTTTGATTATCTGTAACATTATAAACAAAATGTTTTAGTTGGTTTTCATGGACTCTTTACCCTTTCAATACTCAACTAACAGTTCCATGGTCCTAAACAAATTAATGAAGCTTTAATGGTTAGTATATGAAACAGGTTATATATCTAGACAGAATTACATAATCAAAATGTACTAACACTATTATAAGCCAAATGTTTAGGATAAATCATAATGAAAATGAAACCTTGTAGATGTTCTTCTCAGACAATCTGCAAAATAAAATAAAATTAGATCCATGCACCAATACTGCCACAAGCCTCTGCACGTTTAAACATATAATTCCCACAAAACAATTTGTAGATTGCAGATATGAATTAGAAGGCATTACTCACAATCCCTTTTTAGATAGACCTTTCGATGAATTTAACTACTGTGAATGGTGGTGTAAAAAAGACACATTGTTAGAGTTAAAGGCCAATTCATTGCTTCAATAGAATTTATAATATAAAGTTAACCTTTGTAGGCTTGTGACCATTGTCAACAAGCTCCCAACGCTCTTTATCTAAACGGAGCACTTCCACATCTCCATCATCATACAGTACCTTTAACACAAAATTGATCAGAGAAAATTATGTCAAAGAACCATATGAGATTACAATTATAACATTATTGATAAATAAATAAATAAAATGTGTATCTCCAAAACATGACTAACACAAGTATTAGAATAAAAAAAATAGAACATGGAACGGTGCACTTACCACATATTTCTTATGTTCAGAGTCATAAGACTTCACTACTCCATAAAACCTGTTGATTTTAACAAGACACCATCAAGACACAATTCTTGCAGCAGCGTGTATACACACAAGGATTTTGGAGTGCAAACCACGTGTACAAAAAGTACACACTACTAAGGTAATCAAGGATTGTCATTCCCTAGATCAAGATTATGCGGTATGCTTTTGAATAATTTATTAGCACATTGATATATATACACGCTAACAAGGCAATTTTCAAAAGCCATAAAACCAGCAGAGCCACAACAATATATACATATATATATTTACATTTGGAAATTATAAATATAAATTTTGATTTGATTCTCCCATTTTTTCTTTGTATGTCATGTTCGACAAATAGAAAATATAAATAAAGTAAAAAAAGATGATGAATGGGTTTGAGACTTGCATCCACATGTAATCCATCTCCAGACAGCCCACAAATTGATTTGGCTGATGAAAATTGGCAGCGTCAAAGCAATCAAAAGATGGTAGCTAAAGAGCAAACATGAGATCAATATATATAATTTTTTAATCATCATGACAACCCAAGCAACATCAGCCAAAGGCCACAAGACTGGGAGGTCAATGCAAGCAAGGGCCAAAGAGAATATGCCAGAAGCCCTTCTCCACTAGCCAGAGGTCA